TAGAAGTGACACCACCACCAGCATGGCCTATTTCAGTGTCCCTGCGCATGAAGCCAAGAGCCGTAAAATTCTGTGCTCAATCCGTGGAGGGAGATGCCTGCTGTGTGATGCTCAATGAAGTCAATGCAGTCAATGACGTCTCTCAGAAACCTGGCATGAGAACTTCGAAGTCATGAGGACTCTCGTGTCCATACACGTTCACGCAAAACATGGACGCATGCATGTGTATGTGAAGGTGCTTATGGATCTCACCTGCATATGAATGTGCACATCAGTGTGCATGCGACGTGTAGAATACACCTGAGGGCATACTTACCCTTACAAAGGCGAACATCAAAAGGGAGAGTATGGGAGACCTGCCTGCTGCAGCCCCTCTTTACCTTCACCTACATGACCAGTACCACCAGTGCCACTTCCTCCCTTCTCACATTATACTTGGTTCAAGTCTCCGATTGCGCCTCACACCCCTTTACCATCCCATCCCACCATGTGTGTGTGTCACTGAGAGGACCTCACTCACTCGTGTTAAGGTAACCCCTTGCCTAACTTGTCACCATCTGAATGCAAATGGAACTGGCAGGAATCTGGCCCACAACCGCTTGAGTGGGCCCATTCCCACTGGCTTTGCCAACCTTACCAGCTTGACAATGCTGTAAGCGTTTGCACATAGTTCAACTGTTCTGTTTGTTCCTAACAAGATTTGCACAGCTTCAGCTGTTTTGTTTCTTGACCACTGGTGCACACACTTAACCCATTCCAGTTGTATGGCATAAGTTGTTGAGTTGCTCCTGATTGTGTCTGCCAAAGTCAAAATTCACCGTGTGTGGTATTAAATTCTGATGCTCCATGTGTGAAATGCATGCAGCGTTCTGAACAACAACAGCCTCTCAGGCGAGCTACCTGCTGAGCTTGGCCAGAACCCTGCTCTCAAGGACCTGTGAGCACTCACGCACTCAGCGCTTGTGCACATACCTGCTAGCGTTGTCTTATCACTTAACGTCCTCATGCCTCAAAATAAATTCATGATAATTTCTCTCGTAATTTCCATACCCCCTGGATATGTCCCCACGCTCCTCCTGTTATGATGAAAATTCTTTTTCTCCAGCGGTCTTGGCAGCAACTACCTGAGAGGATCCTTCCCTGAAAGCTTCTCTAGCCTTACCAACCTTACCAAACTGTGTGTGCGCTCGCAGCTGATGCAAAAACAAGCCGTCAAGCCAGCCTAGGCACTTGGCTTTGTTAGAATAAGGCTGTCAACACTTTGTGTACTATATTCTATATCACGTAGGTTATTTGCGGGCTGGGTGTAGTTTGTAATCCCAACCCTATCTGGTTGGGATTCCCTCGTAATCCTGGAAATCTGCCAACTCACCAATTGGAGATTTGCTAGGATTCTCATCCCATCCTTTCCCTAGCCTTGCTCAACCCCATCTCGTTTGTACTTAAGGCCTAGTGCCTTCTTTACTAATCAATCAGTTGAGCTCCATTTCTTTCAGGCTTGTCATATCGTTACCACCGAATATGATGCCCCTAGGAGTACATGCTGCCAATCTGTGGGCCAATGCGTTATCATGCAATGCCAGTAGGAGCTAACCTGTGCAATATCAACATGACAGCTTCAGATGGTAGTCCAGCCAGCTTTATAAAAGGGCCTATTCTGGAAAACCACTCTCAACCCAACCCCTTTGTGTGTCCCACGGCATGGCCACTGCAGGGTCCTGAGCAACAACTCTCTCTCTGGCTCTCTTCCTACCACCATCAGTGCTCTTACCTCCCTCAGCATCCTGTAAGTTCCCTGTGCTCTGTTTGCCCTCTGTTCACGCTACCTGCATCTTGTGTTCTTTGTTTCTCCCGATAGCATCTGGGTTGTTGGGACATGCGTGTGGATTTCAGTGGATAACACAAAACCTTCATTCGGGTGCTGCTTTCGCTCCTGCCGCCGCCGCTGTTGCTGCTGGCTGCTGTTTTCTTTTAACAATACACAGCTTATTATCAAATTGCCTTCTCTTGTATGACACGGTATGGCGTGGGTGCACTGTATTATGCCGTGCCATGATATGTTGCATGCATGGTTGGGAATGATCACATCACAGGTATTTGCAGAACAACAACTTTGAGGGGTCGCTGCCCAATCTCCCGTACAATGTATCGGCAGTGTACGTATCTCATAAATTGCACACCACATGCCAAGCTTGCACTGCTGTACTTGTTTTCTCAGTATCTCTCTAAGTTCCATGTTCAGTGCTATCATAAGTTGAAGAAGAAGAGAAAAAAACACACACACACACACACACACACACACACACACACACACACACACACACAAAGAAATACATGAGAGCAGCTGTAAATTTACCGTATACGGTGTGGCGTTTCTATTGCAAATTGCGTACCACATTCTTCCTCTGCTATGTCCATGTTCTGGTGGCAAAAAACAGAGATTTCAGCGGCAACAACTTCACAGGAGGATTTCCGTTGTACTCTGCACAATTCAGCAGCCTTGCCTCATTGTACGCATGCGCTGGCGTTACCACTCTCACTTTTACTCCAGCACTCCAGTGCTGGAATCTACCAGCAGCTTTGCACTGCATTTTTATTTGTGCATGGTACTTCAAAGCTGACGAAGCCAGGTTAGACCACGTGCCACCCACTTCCGGCTGGCGGACCGTAATCTCCAGCAGTCTTTGCCCTTACTTCCCTTGTTTCTCACATTCGGTCTGGCCTTCAAGAGCCTCACAGATGCACATATGCAACAGTTATTTATTACACCTGTTGCTTATGTATGCTATCTCTTGCGCCATCAACCACGCCCTTGCCCTCGCCCTCCCCTTGCCTGCAGGAACGTCAGCAGCAACAGGCTTTCCGGCTCACTTCCTTCAGAGCTCGGCAATCTCGTGGCCCTTACATCCCTGTGCGTGCCACTGCAACCTCTTTACTCCTTGCATCCCCACCCTTGCATTTCTTGTCGATGCACCAGCAGCGTTTGCAACCCAAATGTGCACCTCCTCACACATCTCCTCCACACCTCCTGTCCTGTCACCCATCTGCCAAGCAGCAACACGAGTGGCAACCAGTTCTCAGGCGCCATCCCGACCTCTCTCCAAGCCCTGAAACTCCTTAGCTTCCTGTGAGACCATTTTTTTCCATCATTCATGAAACCTCCATGTGGCTTCTCATGAACGCCGGAGAATCATGTGTTGACACGGGGCTTATTTTCATCATTTGTTGACACGTGGCTTTTTTTATATCATGTGTTGACATGTGGCTTCTGAATTATGTGTTGACTCGTGGCTTCCAAAACCACTGTATGTGGTCACATGGCTGCACCCTTGCTAACTCTGCTCTGCCTTTTGCTGAACCTTTCTGTCTTTCTGAAAACCCACGTGGCATGCTGTAATTTGCAGGGATTTGAGTGGCAACTCTCTAAGTGGTAGCATTTTAGACTTCCTGAGCGTGCTCACGCTCTTACAGAGGCTGTGAGTGAACCTTGCAGAAACCTTACTCATCGTGTGGTGCCTGTAAATGAGAGAGCGACACTCCAAAGTACTCTCAATAAATTCATGTGCCGAAATCTACCATCCACACCGTTTAGATAACACTATATTTCAGTCGTTCGCCTACATACCATCCGTGCTGCACATATGGGCGCTATATGCTGCTGAACGTGCTGTGCTTCCTTTCTTCTTGACTCACCCTCACTTTCCCTGCTGCCCGCACAGAAATCTCAGCACCAACTCGTTTTCTGACACGCTTTCTACATCCCTGGGAGCTCTGGACCAGCTGACGTGCCTGTAAGAGTCACTTAGCTAAGCTAGATACTTGAAGGCCATGTCTTGTAAAGCAAGACCAGCCTTAGATTCCTGAAACAAGGGCAACGAGGCCAATTCTTACAAGCATGAGACAAGCTTGGGTTGTAATCTAACTGGACTCAAATAATGTATGTACACCTTGTATCAGCTTGTGTTAAGTGCACGTTACACTGCAAATTGCATTGTATCACATACTGTAAGATCTCAAAGCGAGAGTTCATGAGTCACTATGGTGCAACGCAATTGCAAGGCACTTCTGATTCTTTATGTCCTTCTGTTGATTTCGTTCAATACATAAAGGCGTTGCTCAAGATGCATGATTTGGTAACCTGTTTAACAGACAGGAAGAAATTATACATACACGTGAGTACCGAAAGTCTCCCACTTATGGAGGAGGGGTGACAAGTTTAACAAACTAAAATGCTAGAGGGATGTCAGAAGAATATCAAAGCACGTACCAAGAGCTCAGAGAATGCCACCCTACAACAACATGCATGTAAGAGTGCCTACTCTGTTATGATCTAGATTTTTCTCAGGCCTCATTTTTGTACTGGCCTTCTAGAAGCTGTGTCTTCCTTTCAGCTGCTTTCCTCTGCTGAAAGTTAATTCTTGTCATTAACAATTGATATATCTACTTGCAAGTCTCACTCCTCAGCGCCTTCTCACACTTCCTCTCTTCCCTCTCCCCTCCACAGTGACTTGAGCGGCAACCAGCTGTCTGGGTCAATCCCTTCTGCCTTTGGCGGTCTCACCCTGCTCGTGCACATGTGAGCGATGCACCTCTGAGTTTGATGCTCCTGTGAGAGTGATGCACATGGAGGGTGATGCACATGGAGGGTGATGCACATGTGAGGATGCACATGCGAGTGATTCCTGCTCATGCGGAGTGATGGCCATGTGAATGATGCGCATGTGTGGATGCATGCCTTCATCTACCCACCCGTAACGTGTCCCATATTCTTCCAATCGCATGTATGCCAATACCCCCTCCCAGGGACATGAGTCGCAACAACCTCTCAGACTCCATCCCCACCAGCATCGGCCGCCTCTCAGGCCTCACCTCCCTGTACGCCCAGATTGGTTCATGTGCTCCTCATCATCCTAATCATCATCATCATCCCCATGATCCCCAGAATCCCCATCATCCCCATCATCCTCATCATCCCCATCATCCCCATCATCCTCATCATCCTAATCATCCCCATCATCCCCATGATCCCCGTCATCCCCATCATCCTCTTCATCCTCATCATCCCCATCATCCCCATCATCCTCATCATCCCCATCATCCCCATCATCCTCATCATCCCCATCATCCCCATCATTCTCATCATCCCCATCATCCCCATCATCCTCATCATCCTCATCATCCCCATCATCCTCATCATCCTCATCATCCTCATCATTCTCTTTATCCCCATCATCCCCATCATCCTCGTCATCCTCTTTATCCCCATCATCCTCTTTATCCCCATCATCCCCATCATCCCCATCATCCTCTTTATCCCCATCATCCCCATCATCCACATCATCCTCAATGCCCTCCTTGAACCGCTGTGGCTGGTTATCATGCCATGATGGCGCATTGGGATAATGGCCCACTGAGATATTAAACTCTACTTTCAGGCATTTCCAGTGTACTTGCAAGGGTTTTCTGTGGAAACACAGGCTGCTGCACCGGGCCATGCCCCCCTTCCTCCCTCTCCTCGCCCTTCTTTACATGCCCACCATGCCCTATTGCTGGGCATGAACCTCTCACTCACGACCGTCAATGGATACCCCCATGCGTACCTTCAATCATCCTCCACGCCTCACATCAACTGTGCAGGAACCTAAGCCGCTCAAGCGTCACAGGTCCCATCCCCGACTCCTTCACCTCACTCTCCAACCTGGTTTTCCTGTGAGATACCCAGCAGTAGACTCTCAGCATGAAACCTCCAAATCGCTGCTCCCGCAAGCCATTACTAGAACTGTGTGGCTGTTACAAGCCATCACAGTCAGCAAGCCACTTGCCGCATTTCACAGTCGCCAAACAGCTGCTGAAATGCACATGTTTGCAACCCCACTCAACAATGCCTCCTAAATCGCATCTCAAATTGCATTTACCGAAGAAGCTGTTAGCTTGCATAGACATGTGGAGCCATAGCTGATATGGACTGGGATACATGGCAGTTAACTGCGCAGTTCTGGATCGTTATGTTTTTGTCATAGTGTCCAATATCTTTGGGGGAAAAAAAATTTTCAGGCTGTAACCAAGCTGCTCTTCTCTGAACTGCACTGCAGGGATCTGAGCTACACAGGGATGGCTGGGTCAGTGCCATGGGGCATCAACAGCCTGGGGCAGCTGCAGGCCTTGTGAGTCACTCCAAACCCTCGCAGAGGAGTAATTAGAGAGTTTGCCAGGAAAAATGGTTGTTTCAATGCACGCTGGTACATGAGTGGTTATGTTTTACGGTCTCCCTATCTATTAAGGCTTGTAAAGCGTGAACCTTGTACGCATGACAATTCACGATTTTCAGTCCCCGCCACAGGCATTCAGTTGAGACAACTGTATGTAACACTGTGTACCAGTGATGGCATGGCTCACAACCCTCCACTCCCGCTCCCCCAACCACACCAGGTACGGCACCCCCGGCATCTTCTGCAATGACAATGCCACCTGCCTTGCTGCCCCTACGCCGCCCACCAGCCCGATGCCCCCTCCTGCGCCACCAGCCAATCCCACGTCGCCAGCTGTCACCGACTCCAGCTCCCCTGCGTCTGCCAACTCGTCTGCGCCCAACGCCACCTGCCACGTGTGCCAGAGCTACTGCCTCGATTGCTCCTCCTCTGCACCCAGTGCGTCTCCTGCTGCTTCTGCTCCCTCAGTCCCTCCTGCACTGCCTTGTCCACTGCACAAGTTCCGTCACCCATTACACCTCGCATTTGTTAAAGTTTCTGCCATCCTGAACCCACTCTCTCTCTCTCTCCCAATACTTTGTGTCTCTTGCTCGTTTGCTCTCCCCATTCTCTTCCATCATGCAGTTCCTTATCTCGTCTGGATTCTTCCTGTACGATTTTCATAAAGTCCCTCCATCTCTCCTTCTCCCACCACCGTATTCTCACAATTCTCTATCACACCACTTGCCTCCTCTGCTCTGCCACCACCACCCAACTCTGAGTAAAAGCCATCGCAGCCACACTTGCACACTCATTCCAAACTCTCATCATTATCATTGCTCTCTCTCCCTTTTTCGGTTCTCCCTCTCCATGCTTCAGCCAACCCCTTGGCTTCCACCAGTTCTCTCTCCTCGGGGGCCATAGCAGCCATAGTGGCGGCGGCACTCATTGCACTCCTTGCTCTCATCGCCCTGATCATCTTGCTCTGGTTCTGCTTCCGCCAAACGAAGCCTGGTAGGATGCTGCAATTTATTATGAACTGAACAAAGCCAAGCTGCCTGTGGGTGGCCGAATTGCCAGTGCATAAACAGACACTCAAAGACATTGCCAGTCACTTCTGCCTCCCTCTATCTTCACCCAATTCTCTCCTCCTCTGCTGATCAGCTTAGTTTCCACAAAACAAATGCCTCATTCCAGCCCCGTTTCTTCCCCATGTCTTGCTTCTCACTCGCGGACATCCAGCAGGCCACCAACTTCTTCTCGAAGGTCAACCTGATTGAGTCAGATCCTAGACAAGTGCTTCCCTCTATCCACCCTCACCCCTCCCTCCATTGTCCACCACTCCTTCTCCACCACCTCCTTTCCCCCCCCTCCCCCCCCCTCCCTCTCCTCCCCCAGCGTGCAAGCAGTACTCACTGGCGGACATCCAGCAGGCCACCAACTTCTTCTCGGAGGTCAACCTGATCGGCTCGGGGGGCTTCAGCGACGTGTACAAGGGCGTGGACCCGCAAGACCCGGAGGTGCTGTGGGCCGTGAAGCGCGCCACGGCCCTCTCCAACGACTTTATGAAGGAGGTGAGGGACATCACATATTTTATGCGGTGTGGGGCGGGTGTGGGCTGTCAAACGTGCCACGGCCCCCTCCTATGACTTTGTGCAAGTGGTTAGCAGATAGGGATGCTGTTTGCAGTACAAAACTGCAAATTCTTAACATGGGAAATGGGTCAGATGGGTTGGGATGAGATTGAAAACCTGGAAGCTTTTCGTTTAAGGTTTTTTTTTTTTTTCAACGGTGTATTTTTTGTCGCTATCAAAGGTGTGAGCACTATGCAGTGAGGAGAACTCTGGCAAAAAACGAATGGTCTCACTGATCTTGGGAAGAGATGAGTACCAACATTGCGAAGGGATTACGTTAACGGTTGAAATCATTCTAAAGACAAATGGATGGTTGAGCTGTAAAATCTATTGTCCAGAATAGGAGGGGAAATGTCCAAGTTAAGCTATTGAAGTCAACTACTTGTATAAGTCGATTTCAATATGCGTGCCAGCAACAATGAGTCAAATTCAAACATGAGTTGGCTTTTCTTCCCATTTGCACCTTTCACAAACTGATTTTAGGAAGCCCACGCTTTTCAAAAGGAAGGATGCAGATCTTCATGTCTCAAAACCTCACTGTTCTTGCTGCAGCGCGCGAGGCTGCTAGTGGTGCTGGGTACTGCATCAGCTACAACTTGGCTCTCACGCACACCTCGTTCTTTTACTTGGTCTTCCAAACCATCCTCCCTCTCCCAGGTGGCAGACTTGTCACGGCTGAAGCACCCAGCACTGGTGCCGCTGCTGGGGTACTGCATTGACTACAATGAGGAGACCCTGCAGATGGAGCAAATCATTGTGTCTCAGTTCATGCCCAACGGGGATCTCTCCCAGTGGACCATGCCAGGTGCGATTTGGCCAGCAGGGCTTGTTCAATAAGGGTTGATGAAAGGCGTTCACATCCTTCAGAATACAAAGGATGGCAGTACACTTCGCATGATGGTTCATAGTATGATAGAGATAACGTTGACAAGAAAGGTAATGATACTGTATATGTATATATATACATATTAGTGGTGATCCAATGAAAGAACGATTCATGTTCAATAAATATGTCGAATGATGACGGATGTCGAATGATGAGGGAGGCAGTTGGGAGAAATCAATAGAGGGTGGAAGAATGGGGAGCCCTCCCATCCCATCCCTCTATACTCCCATTCCCCATGCCCTCCTCTCACTGCTTCCCCATGCCCGTGCCTTTCAGGAGCCAAGCCTGCAAGCACCTGTTCTGGAGGCCCTATTCATTTTTCCATGTCTGCACCGCATCTCCCGGGAGCCAAGCCCATGACTTCATGCCTCCATTCCTTCATTCTATCGTGCCCTCTTCATTCTCCTACGCCCCCACCTCCCAGGGGCCAAGCCCATGTCGCTGCGTGTGAGGCTGGCGGTGCTGGTGGACGTGGCGGACGGGCTGAGCTTCCTCCACAACCGTCGGATCGTGCACCGCGATGTGAAGCCGGCCAACGTGCTGCTGGATGCAGACATGCGGGTGAGGCCAGAGCTTGAATGACTGACTAGGCGCGGGTGAAAAATGTGCGCTGGATGCAGACACGTGGGTGAGTCATCCAACAGTACTGCATCAGTTTAGGACTCCTGTTTTGCTTCCATTTACTTCGTCACTGTTCCATATACTTCTTCACTGCTCCATTTAATTCTTCACTGTTCCATTTACTTCGTCACTGTTCCATTTACTTCTTCACTGTTCCATGTACTTCTTCACTGTTCCATTTACTTCTTCACTGTTCCATTGTCACTTGGCCCTGAAACCGCAAATGTGTCCCCTTCTTTCTGCAAACTTCTAACAATCTCCCTCTCCTTCACCTCTCCTCCTCCTTCATGCCATGCCACACACCTCTTGGAGAGCATCTCTCAACCAAAGGTGGTGAATTCGGGTTAACCCATCTCCTCCCTTCCTCCTCCATCACAACACCACCCCACCCTCCCAGGCGAAGGTGGCGGATTTGGGGTTCATGCGGAGATGGAAGCGACCCACAGAACCCTTCTCTACAGCTCGAGGAGCCACCCTGTTCAACTTGTCCTGCCTGTTCTCACTCCCTCTCTGTCGCCATGCGATGCACCATTTCAGGCGAAGGTGGCGGACTTTGGGTTCATGCGGAAGATGGAGGCGACCCAGGTGAACACCACGAGGGTGATGGGCACACCGGGCTATGTGGACCCTGAATACCTCCAGACCCGCCTTGCCACCACCGCCACCGATGTATACAGGTGAGCGGTGCTGACCGGTGGTGGTGCCTTGGTGCTGCATCGTGTGGGCATGGGTGATGGGAGCATCAGGCTATGTGCACTCCAAATAGCACCACGGCATCATGTCATCACTCCCACCAGCATGCAAAAGTGTCTTGTGATCTGCATGGGGTGGATTTTTTTTAGGCTTGAGGCGCCTAAAAAATACGCTCTCCAAATAGCACCACGGAATCTTGTCACTCGCTACCACCAATACGCAAAAGTGTTTTGCAAACAACAGAGGGTGGATAACTGTGTGCCTGGCAAACGTGCATTTGTGTGCATCGTCGCATTGCCAGCTGTGAATCTGCAGCAGCTGCTGCGGATCCTCGCTGAGCATGACTCCTTTCTCCGCCACTACACCGACCGACTACCCGTATCTCAGTTGACTAATAATAACAACGAATTCTCCTTCAGCACCACTTCTCTCTCCTCACTCATCTCTCCTGAACGACCACCCCCGCCCCTTTCCCTCAGTTTTGGAGTGCTACTGCTGGAGGTGCTGACCGGTAGGGAGCCAATGCTGTCAATCGATGGCTCACAGTCACACATCCGGGACTGGGTGAGTCATTCTTGAAACACCTCAAAAGCCCGTTCTTTCAGTCGATGCCATGAGCACATTCAGGAGTGGGTAAGTCATTTTTCTTATCCGAGTGCTCCAACCAGTGCCTTGCAATTCATCCTTTCTTTTGATGGCTAGCATCACACATCGTAGAATGGGTGTGTTTCATTTTCCTCATCTGTATGCCGCAGTCCACTCGCTGCCTCCGATGACTGTTGAGTTGACTAAAATTCTCTCTCTTCGCACCCACTCTCTCCCATCATGCAGGCAGCTGCCGAGCTCTCCAGTGGTGACATCAGCTCCATTATAGACCCTCGGATGGTCTCCCCTGCAGCATCTGGTGCCAGCATTGTGCATGCTGATGTCATGAAGAGCCTTGCATCCCTGGCACTGGCATGCACGGCCATGCCTGCTGCCTCTCGTCCCCCCATGGCCAAATTGCACTCACAGCTGAAGCAGCTGCACGAGGAGGTGGTGAGGCGGGAGGGGGAGAGCATATCGCAGCAAGGGAGTGGGCTGGGGGGGCTGGGAACGGGGGGAGGGAGTTGGCTGCAGAGGGATAACCGTGTGTGCCCCGCAGCTGAGTCTGCGGTAAGGAGTGTGAGTGTTGTGAGGGGAACGACGGATGGCGAAGGCAGTCCTGAAGAGGATGAGAGCTTGACTGTTGGGGAGGGGACAAGTGGAGAAGCAAGTAGGAGCACGGGTGATGACCACAACTGAACGGACCACGTTTGAGATATTATGGTACAGTGTGTATGAATACCATACAGTATGTTGAAAATGCAAAGCTTTTATGCAGATCCAAGCGTTTGAGTATGAATGGGGTACACGCAATTAAGCAAGATTGTTCTCCACAATGCGGAGATGTGTCTTAAAAAGAGGAGTCCCAAGTGCTACAAATTGAGTTCGTAAATTCCATCATTGTTAATTTCTACTGCCCCATTCAGTTAGAAAAACTATTTCATTATACGTGCATCCACGGCCCTGATTGATTGAAGTGCGTTTTTGCTTGCCTAGGTGCGTCCACTGCTGCCGCACCCCTCTCCACTCTCAACTTCTGTGCCACCCATTGCTTCTTTCGCAACCGCACCACCCTTTCGCTGCAACCAGCTTCTATCGCAGCTCCGTGGCCGGCCCCGCATCTGGGCCAGTCGTCGCACGCAGGGCTTCTGCACTCCCTTGTCCAGCATGCAGGGTAGCACTCCAGTTCGCTAACCAACTGAGTTAAAAGGGCATGTTTCCTTGGTGGGTCAGTGCACACATAACCCCTTCGGCCCATTCCAATGTCCATTTCCAACACTCCCCTCACCAAGAGGGCCCACCACCAGGGCACAGGAAATCGTCGACAGCAGAAATCGAATCCTGATCCTCCACAATCACCGCACCGTGCAAGGATAGCACTCCATTTCGCTAACCAACTGGGTTGATGGGCATGTTTCCTTGGTGGGTCAGCGCACCCATACCCCCCCCCCCCCCCCCCACCCCCCTGACGACACCCGCAGCCCTTGGGGAGACCACTTCGGACCATTCCATTGTCCATTTCCAGCACGGCAGTCCCCTCATAGGTCTACACATCTCCTCATTCTCCAGAAACTTAGTGAGTGCCAGTCGCCATCAGGGCCTCGATATCATTACCACGTTTCTTGGGCACGAACGGTGTGCGTCCTTTATGGATGCTTCCTGTGAGAGGATAAAGACTTTACCTCAATGTTCAATAAGGAACCTAGGCATGACTACGTGACTATAGAAGCACGATACAAGGCAGGTAACCTGGATGTTACAACAAGGTGTCGAGGCTCCAAAACTGGCGGAAATAGAGTCTTTCAGATCTGGTAGAGTCATTCAGTAAACAATCATGCACATGAAAGGTCACACGAGATAATGCGAGATAGTGCTAGAAAACAGCACAAAAACGGTGCATAGAATCATATTTGGTGCAATAACTGAATAAGAGCTAATAGGAAAGGAGCGCATAAATCAAAATAGAAATCCGAAATAGGATAATCAGGGAGGAACGGACGCACACTCTCACACTACCACTAGAGCACCTCTTGCAACGTTCCCTCAAGATTTTCCCAAACTTTCCACGATGTACACTGCATCCACCCACGTTCCTTGTCTGGTCAGGTAGTTGTACTGTGATCGTGTCGGTCGCTCACTCACCCGTCGCTCCTGTGTCACTACCATCTAGGTCACCCCGCTCTCCTGCGTCTTCGTCAAATGGTTCAGCATGGTCTTGTCTCTGGTCTCCCGTCGTCACTCCCCGCTCTTCGGCCCCCGTATGTGCCACCGTGCACTCCATGCACGGAGGCGAAGCAGTGCGCCGCCCCTACCTCATTGTTTACCCCCATCATTGCGCCACTACAAACACTGCACATGGACGTGTGGAGCCCTGCTGTCATCCTTGGGCCACACCGGGAGCACTTCATCCAGGTCATTGTGGACCATTACTGCCGCTATATAATGGTTCTTCTATTATAGTGGACGGCTGACATACCTGGCGCTCTCCTTCTATGGATATTAGCCGTCTGTGCCTAGCGCGCCCAACGTGTGCTTGGTCTACACTGCAACCGTAGTGGCGAGTTTGCATCCAGATGCTTTGGCAGGTTCTATTGTGCAGAAGGTATCACCGAGGTTGTTGGAGTAGGCTAGAGCTAGCTTGGATATCATGGCTTTATTATGATATTTCGCCATGTTTAGAGCAAGTTACGCTTTAAGGTTTGTCATATTTGCATAAATGTGAAATGGTAAGGGGAGGAGCAAATGGGGGTGTACAGAATGTATATATTTTACATGATGAGTGAAGCGGCTAGCGAGGATGAGAGGCGAAGAGTCATAGGACGTTTCAAGGGATGAGGAGTGAACGGGGGAACTGGCCTCTACTGACGCGAGGGGTGATGGAAGGGGGTGGATCTGCATGGGGAAGTTCCAGTGAGGCGGCACTTACGAAAGCACAAGAGGATTGAATGTAACTCTACAACACTCAGCAAAGGCAGCGGGAAAGAGGTCGGGGAACGGCAGTGGATGGGTGTTTGTGTGCTTGCATGGTTGTTTCCCCTATTGTTTGCAGGTACACACCAAGAAGCCAGATGGATCAGCGCAGTTCCAGCTGGAGGCAATGAGATTAGAGGCAGGAGGGTTGGCAAGAAGTAGCACGGATGCAAGCCTGCTCAAAGACAATCTTAGTTGTCGACGACTAGGCTAGGAATGATGGGACGAGCGTAAGGAGGAGGACTCGCTGGTAGAATTGGTGGATTATTGCTGTGTGTTCATCATTGCTTGTATGTTCCCTTTCAACACGAAATTCTTGTTGTGAACTGAGCAAGTAGGACCTTAAGGAGATAAGGCAAGCTAGCACAAGGTAGGAGTAACTACAAGTGAGATTATGTGAGGGAGCTTGGAGCTCATCACATACAAGCAATCTTAGTGGAGGGAATGCCCACGAGATACGGATTGGATTACGCATCGAAAGAATGACAATAGCCAGGGGGCGGAGACGTAGGGCGCCGAGAGACAGAACGCGGCGAATCGGGAGAGAGCCATGGGCTTGGATGAGGAGCGCGATCCGACACACAAATTGGAGAAGGGAGCGACCAAGGACGGTGTGGCATGGCCCACGCCAGAGGAAGGAGGAATGGTTGGCGGGGCCGGCAAGCAGGGCGAGCGAGCCTATCAGCGGAGCGCGTCCTGGTAGGGCTGGGAAGAAGAGGCAACGTCCTTGCGATGGCGCTACACGATGCTCCCTAAGGTGGAGGTCCCAGAAAGGTTCTTAGGCAAGACACGCGGCGAACCCTCCCTGGAGAACTATCTAATGCAGCTGGAGAACCTGAGGGCAATGTGGGAGAGAGATCGCCTTGTGGCGGATGAGTTTTTTTGTGGACTGGCGAATACTGTGACGGGAGAAGCTGAAACCTATTACCGCATCTGCATGAGGGACTTACTGGAATGGGCTGCAAGAGGAAGGCCAGGAGAATTGGATCCGACGGTGCAATTTCTTGACATACTAAAGGAGCAGTTCCCGGTGCAGACCCCAGAGTGCGTTGTAGAGTTCCGGGAGTTCAGAAAGAGACCGAGGGAATTACTGCTGGCGTACTACGGGCGCCTCGTTGAGGGCCGACTCATGAACAAGTTCCTAAACAGAATGAATTACGAGCTGCAGCATGACGTGCAAGTGAAGATCTCTGACCTGGGAGAAAATGCAACGTTAAGGGAAGCCTACGAGGCGGCTAAGCGGGTGGAGATGGGGAGAAGACTGTTTGAGGTGGAGTGCACGGTAGAGCAAGTGCCAGAATGGCAAAGGCCAACCTAGAGTGCGGCGCCAGTTGAAGAGACCGGCCGCCGAGAGGACCCGCGAATGTGCGAAAGTGTCACAACTGTGGTAAGTCAGGGCATCTGAGGTAGGAGTGTTGCAACCCACCGGCGTGTTCCATCTGCGGACAAGAGGACCGTTTGAGGCGCGACTACCTGGAGGCAGCGGTGAGTGGTAAATGTGGACTTAAAGGGCACGCGGACCTGGATTGCTATTCATGAAGGGGAGAAGGCTGGGGAGACAACCGTAGGAGGAGCAAGATGGCAGAGATGCGGGCGGAAATAGAGAGGTTACAAGCACAGCTAGAAGGACGCGAGGCGGGGAGCGAGAGGATGCAGGCTATGGTGGCGAGGGGGGGAGAGGAGGAAAGCAGCGAAGAAGAATTATGCCTGATGGCAAGGCCAGCACGGGATAGGGAAGAGCTGGGATTGAAGCTGAAGGAGAGGAAACATGAGGCCGCAAAACGAGGAAGGGAAGGAGTTAGGCCCAAGGAGGAGGGCGGAAGCAGAAGAAAAGCAACACCCGCCGTGTCGCCACCCGCTGGAGCGACTCAGCTGCGCATCATCCGTCTTGGTGGCAGAAAAGGGATACATCACTGTGGGGGCCATCTCGGTGAAGCAGGTGATCATAGACACTGGGGCGCACCCAGTGCTCATTGGGAAAAGGCTTGCGGAATAGTTGCAGCTAGACAGGCCCAAAGAAAAGATAGAAGAGGGATTGTTGTTGAATGCACGTCAGTTTGAGTGCATCTCATCCTAACGTCCTGCCAAGTGCTCGTGCTATTTGTGCTTGCATAATTTGCATGAGCATATGTCATTATGCATGGCTGTTGGATTTTATAATTTCTGTGTTTTTCTCCAAGTCTACATGCTTTATCATGCAGGAGAAATCTATAGCTTTCCAAGAATACCAAGATCGCCTTATTCCGACCAAGATCGTCCAAATTTCAAGATTTCCAAGTTTTGGAGATTCTATCTTATTTTGAGATGTTATCTATATTGGGAAAAGACTATAAAAGGATCTTTAGTTGGGTAGTAAAGAAGGCAACTTTGACCTTTGGATTGGGGTGGCTATAAGTTTCTAGCATGGGTTGCAAATGTTGCAACACCTAGGCAAAATCCAACTAGATTGGATTTTGCATGTGACACCCCAAGGACCTCATGATGGGGATCGTATCTGCGGAGAGTCACTCTACAATAGTCGTGAGCTAGACTACGGGGGTTGGCACGAACTCTGGTTGCTTGCATTCTTAGCACTTGCACATTCACTGGAGAAGTCGGCAAAAGTTTCCACTAGCAAAGTTGGGATTATAGAATAATTGCATTGACAATGAGAAGAATGACTACATCAGGCACCTTGCAGATCTACAGCTAGCTTGGTCGACCGCCAGCACAGCATGGTCGACTGTGTG